CATCATCATCATCATCATCATCATCATCATCGTCATCATCATCATCGTCATCGTCATCATCATCATCATCATCATCATCATCATCATCATCATCATCATCATCATCATCATCATCATCATCGTCATCATCGCGTCTACCGGCCGCTGACAGCATCTGGTCACAGAGTTCGACAGACAGGCCACGGAAGCTTTGCATGAGGCATCTCTTAACGCTCAAACTCTCATTCCCCTTCTCAGTTATCGCCCGGCACCTGACGACTCCGTATCAGAGGCATGTCACCGTATCCTGCCTCCTCCCTCACCAGTCCTCGAACCCTGTGGCAAGGGAAGGAGCAGCTCCGTAGTTCATCAGCTCCTGCTCAGTCTCATCACATGCAGCACAGCGAGCGCAAGCACTACCTCCTCCGTCGGATCCATGTATTTCTTTCCCACCTTGCTCCACACGTTTCCTTTCTTGTCTGTTCCCGGCGCTGTAGACACAACCCTCCCTCCCTGGTCAACCAGCACGACTCTTGTCTCCCCGCGGAACATCAGCTGAAGGTATACAGACGACACCACCCGCTCCTCCTGCACAGCCGCACCCTCTTCACTCTCACCCTGCTCCTCCTTGTCCTGCATGACACCCTGTGCCTCTCCTCCCGCCGCGTCCTCGGGACTCTCCTGCTCACTTCCCTCCGACATGCTCTCGGAGTTTTCATCGTACAACCCTTCCACAGAGAAGACCTCGTCGTCACTGACTCCTGCTGCCTCCTCCTCTGCATTCTCTGCTTGTGTGCTCAGGGTCCGTTCGGTGAAGTCTAACCTGACCAGCCGGGCGAAAGGAACGAGCTCGACACGAGTGAGGTAAAGATCCCTGAGGCTCTCCTGCATCAACGTCGAGAAGGCGGAGGATTGCACATGACGAGGCTCCTCGCTCGAGACTGCTATCCTTCCATACTTCGGGTGCCAGTTCAACAGCAGGTAGACACTCTCTCCAACCCCCTCGGCCCTGCCCTCCTCTGCGCTCCCCTCTCTGAGGAAGCGCAAGGCGACCTGAGTTTGACTTGTTTGGAATGCTTTGTCAAACTTGATCGGCAAGCACTCTCGCACATCCTCGCACAGTGCAAACAAGGTCGTGTAGTCGATGGGCTGGGAAGCAACCCGTTCCTTGGAAACCCCTTGGGACGTCGCTTGCATACTCAAACTCGATGCACCCGCCATGTACTGATCGGAGGAGAAGGAAGCATGAACTCTTCGTTGCATGCTCTTCGCAGTACCTACAGAACCAATACGAGACCTGCAGGCATGCATGGAGTGTAGGGCCGCTTTGGAGAGGAACGGCAGCTTGCTCGGTGCGAGAAAGCCGGTGGAGGAGGGAATCGAAATGCAGAGAAACATGAGAAGACTAGCACACAGCATGGATGACCGACTTCTGCTTTTTCCTCTTTCGCCCTCTCCCTCTCGCTCCCTCCCTCTTTCTCTCTCCCTCTTTCTCTCTCCCTCTTCCTCTCTTCCTCTTCCCCTTCCTCTTCCTCTTCCCCTTCCTCTTCCTCTTCCTCTTCCTCTTCCTCCTCCTCTTCCCTCTACAGATGCGATCGCTCTTTGCAAGTCCGCAGGACAATGTCCTGCCAAATTTCTTTAAAACGGATTCGCAGAATCCCAACCGCCTCAGAGGAGATAGGGAACTCATCGCCCTCATTCACTCACCTCGAAGTCACCGTCGCACAGATCGGACTCTACACGACCACCAACCCCCCCCCAGGAAAGTCTCGCTCACTCAGTACCCCCTACCCTCCCTGATACTACCCCACCTTCTTCCCGAGTTGAGCACTACCATGGATATCAACCAGCCGAGGCTCCCTTGAAGCCTGGCTAGTACCCCCCTCTTCTCCCTACTTGTCGTCTATTGCACTGGGATACCTGGTCAGCCTCGGATATTTCACTAGGGACCCTAGCAAAAGTACCCCCCACATCCCCTCAGAGTACCCCTGTCTCCCTCACTGCAAGCCAGCGGTCCGAGTCGGGGTTCCCGGACTGCGGAGCTGATTATTTTAAAAAATTGAGAGAAGGGGAGGGGGTAGGGTCATTTGAGTACCTGGTACTTTTCGGACGATGTTGATTATTAAAGGGTGGGTGGGGTACTCGAATGATCAGGTGTATCAGGGAATGACCGGGCCCAAGAAACTTCGGGTCAGGACGGGGGTGGTGGAACTTCCGAAACATACGGAGAAGAGTAGGGTGGGTGACGTGGAGTGGGGGTGAATTTACCTGCGTCTGAAGGGAGAGAGAGTGGGTGGGTACTTGATTCCAGGGCTACGGCTACCGGTAGGGGGGGTGGTAAAGTGGGCGGAAATGGTACTGGTAGTAACCTGAGCTTGCATTTTTGTCATCAGTAGTGTCGGGTGGAAAAACAGACATAGGGTGGGTGGTACATGAATCTCCGAAAGGTAGGGATGTTTTCATTATCAGAATCCCAGTCACAAGTGGGGTGGGTAGAAAAGGACCAGGGTAGTCCTGCAATGGCAGGGGTGGAGTGGTCAGAGGGGTTGCCTGCGACGCGAGACAAACATGCGGAGAAAGAGCGGAGGAGGAGGAGGAGGAGAAGTAGAGGCGGGGTAGGGAGGACGCCAGGAAGCGGACAAGAGAGAGGCAGAGCACAAGGAGCAAGAACCAGACCGCGCTAAGAACAATAGGAAGGCACTGGAGAACAGTCGCTGAGCTGTCATGCAGGCAGCAAAGAACAGTAAGGAGGAGAGTGTTTCCTCTACGAAGATCGAAGCAGCAGACTCGTGAACGTTTTGGCAAGTTAGGAAAATGTCCATCAACCATGCAAAAGGGATAGGCAGAAGACCCCGTGCGTGTTGACAATGAAAATATAGAGAGCGATGAAAGATCTCTGCAGAGGATGAGCCATCACCACAAGCATGGGTTTGCAGACACGATTGAGGAGATTGATCAGACAGCGGAAGTTAGTCGGTTGCATATCCAGTTAACAAGGGAAAGGCAGGAAGGGAATGCAGAGAAGAGAGAAGAAACGTGATGAGAGAGACGTTGGTATGATATGTGCGAATGTCAGCAAACCCAGTCTTTGCAGTGAATCATTGATTCGCAGAGACCAGTAGTCAATTGAGCAAGAAGAAGATTAATACAGCTCCTGCATGACCATGAGCGGAGAGAGAGGGAGTTTGCTTGCTGATAGTCTGAAACTTTGAAACAGTCAAGTCCGTCCACCGATCGCTCTGGTCGAGAAAATTGGAATATCTGTAAAGGAAGTTTAAGGATGCGATCGTTTACTCGCTGATCTCGCTCTCTGTCGGAAACTGGGAACAAACATTTTGAAAGCATGGACATTCTGAATTTCGGCAAGGTGTTCAACCACGGGGACATAGAAAAGAAGGTCCGCCTGATCCTAACGCTCCTCCAAACCCTGAATGCACTTGTGTTTGAACAGCAGGAAGAGACTGACCACGACGGCAACCATGACAACCCACTCATGTCTTGGATCCTGCAGTCAGTCGTGAGTCCTCTGAAAGGGAGCTCCAACGTGAGTTGTTGATCTCTCCAGCATCTCCGGTGCTGATAGAGAGCCTGACAGGGGGACGTTGTCGAGAGCAGCAGCCGTCAACAGATGGGGGGCGAAAACTCCAAGAGGTGATAGTCACATGTCTGTTGAAGAGATCCAACCGTGACTTGTCGATTGCAGTAAACCTCCACCAGAGCAGCGGGAGGCTGAGGACAAGCATGCCTCCTCTGACGGCGACATCAACACGTTTGTTGCTGGGTTCTGGGACTCCCTCAGCAGCTGGCCCAAGGCATCGGAGGAGGTGGATGCAGCGAAGGCGCCTGGGGCTGAGCCTGGTGAAACTTGTGACTCGCGGTCGCTCGTCGACAAGAAAGCTGGTGGTCAAGATATGGACCATGGAGCCTCAACAGAGAGATCTCGTCGTCAAGACGCTCATGGCAGCACTCGGAGTCCCTCAACCATGGACTTGCAAACCCCTCTGCACCTCAACGGAAAAGTGTCAGAGCTCGTAAGCAGAAAGGATTCGCCTCTGAAACATCTCACTACAAATCCACCGTTGGATCTGAACAAGAACATGATAGTTGCTGGTCCTCCCAAACAAAGTCAGGGTCATGTCAACCAGAGCCAGGCTCATCCCATGCAGAGTCATATCAGCAATGGCCAGGGTCATGTCAACAACGGTCAACTGAAGCACGGGAGTATAGACCTGGCAGCGGTTACTCGGACCAACAGCTCGAGCAGCACGTTCATGAGCCCCAAGAGCAAGAACATCTACGTGTCCGACAGGCCGACGGTGCGTGTGCAGGACCCTCACTTGCAGGACATCAACATCTACGAGAGAACCCACATGCCCAACAAGGGCGGCAGCTTCCCCGCGCCTCTGCTCCTCACTCCCCCGAAGTCAGATAAGAAAATGTCCTCTTCCCCGCGATCAACTCCGCGGGTGCTGCAGGTCAAAGTCTTGACGCCTGTCGGGAAAGACAAGGGTGATCTGCAGAAGACAGTCTGAGGTGTCGAGGGCCGAGGAGCGCTGGACGGAGACTGCAAGCAAGGGAAGGGCAGCAAACAAAGATGTCATGAGTCTTGAGATTTCAATCGGTTCCCATGCGCTGACATGCCTGCTGTGCTGCCCCCGGTGGTCTGCGAGAGATTATGTACTATAATGAAAAGCGGATCGATGGACGCGGGAGTGCAAGGTATCGCACGGAAGGAACAATGACAAGGACTTCATTGTCTCTCAAGTCATGAAACATCAATGACATGTACACATCACATCACTGCATTATCTCGCAAGCCCCTTGCCTGGCGTCCCAACGTTCCTCTTCTGTGATCGCACGTCAAGGGGTGCACAACATCTCAGGGGCGATACCTTGAGAGAAATCTGCCAGATTTTCCACTCCTTCCACTTGAGGAACTTGCTCTCGAGCTTCGCCTCGATCTCTTGCGCATGCAGCGTCTTGAAGCAGTACGGCATCCTCTCCGTTATCACCCTGCCCCTCGTCAGCCCCCAGCAGCGCCCCCGCCTGTCCTCACCTGAACTCGAAGGTCGCCAGATCAGACGCTCCCCAGCTGTAAATCTCGTCGAAGGTATAAAACGCAATCTCCTCCTCGAAACCCTGATACCCCGTAAGTGCGTGCGGTGACGGTGGTGAGTATGGGGTGGGGGGTTGGGGAACGAAGAGGAGGAGGAGGAGTTGGAGATGGTTATGGCAGTGGAGGTAGTGAATGGTTATGGTAGTGGAGGTAGTGAAGATGTTGGATGACAAGCAGGAGCAAGAGGAGAAGCAGTTGGGTTGGAGGAGATCTCCTTCAAGGAAAGGCAGAGGAGCCTCACCGGGTCGTACAGTCCGAGCTTCACCAGTCGCAGGCCTGTGCTCATCACCCCGAGGAGCAGCTCCCTTGAGAGGTCCAACCTGGAGGGAGGAATGAGACGATGGCTGAGCCTGCTGCCGTCCCTCCTCCTCTCTCACCTCACGGTCTGTTCTACGTGGTAGTACGGGAAGTCCCTTTGAGACATCGCCTGCCGATAGCATGCGGCCCACTCGCGCAGCTGGGTCAGGCCCTCCGGAGTCTGACGAGTCACTCAGTCCCCCGGGCCCCACCGTGCCGGCAGCTACCATCGGATTCATCACTTGCATGCGGAAGATACGCGCTGGGGTGATGACGTCGAAGCAGCAGGTCTTCTCAGAGTAGTGGAACTGACACCTGCTACTGGCTCACCAACTCCTCCTCCTCCTCCTCCTCCTCCTCCTCCTCCTTCCTCCTCCTCCTCCTCCTCCTCCTGTGCTCAAAGGCATACTTTACCTTCGGATTGCGAAGAATCCGTCAGGGACAGAAGTCGGGCTTCGGCAGTAGTAGAGCGCAACATTGTCCAACACGAAATACCTAGTCGCGAGCATGAGAAGCAAACTCAGCACAAGGCAATGAGAGCTCTTGACGGAGGTTAAGGAGAAGAGAGAGACATGGAAGACATGAGTTACCTCTTCTGCCACTTCTTCAGCTTCTTCGACTGCTTCAGGAGCCATCCTTCCTTGAGCACCTCCAGTGGAGGATCCGGATCGAGGGTGACTGACAGGAGGATGTCAGTCTATATTCGTCCTCCCCAGCTGTACCTCCACCTGGTTGGACAGCCCCTTCTCTCTCCCCCTTGGACTCCTTCTTCTGGCTCGTGGGGGTTCTGTCAAGCACAAGGATCACAGCAGGAGAGTGAGGTCCTAGGGCAGACCCGCGGGCTTGAGAGGAGAGGCTATCTCTATCGTGACCGTATCCCCCGACCGAGACTGCGATCTTGTTGTCCATGTCCTCCTGCTCCTCTTCCTGCTTGGCCTGCCATTGGTTGAGCACGAGGGAGGGGCGGCAGAGGACGGGGAACCTTGGCCTTGGCAGCGGCTTCTGTCTCTAGTCGCTCGATCTCTTGCCTCATGGCCGCTGCCTGGGCTTCAGCTTCCTGCATTTCACTCTCTTCGATGCTCCTGCAGCTGCGTCAGGCTCCTCGTCGGGCGCAGGAGCCTCAGGTCGCTCACTCTCTCTCTGCCGCCTTGTTCCGCTCCTGCTGCACATCGTTGTCCATCGCCTCCTTCGCTTTCATCATCTCCGCCTTGAGCTTCTCCAGCGCCTCCATCTCAGCCGACGCCGACCCGGCCCTGCCCATCCTTTCAGTCTCTCACAAGCCTCGCAGACTCCAGCATACCTCGAGTACGACTGTTGCGCTCGCTCGATGGCGGCGAAACCGTCGGAAATCTTCCCTTCCTTGAGGCACTGAGCCGCTTTCTGATACGCAGCGTCTCCCTGGTTCTTCAACGTTTGCCTGCCGCACTGTCACGAAGCTACTCGGCTACTTCCTCTGCTTCGTCGACCTGAACTCGATGTACTGGATCCTGATGAGCACCTGACGCCCTCCACGTCATCGCAGGCCCCAGCATCTTCCTTCCGCTCTCCTCACCTTGTGCGCCCTCATGTTCCTGTCGTCGTCGGTGATCCCAGCGCGCTCGTAAAAAGCCTTTGCCCTAGCAGCTCTGCGTCAGCTGGACAGGATCGCAGCTCGCATGCTCACTTCTGGATCGCCGTCTGAGCCGTCTTGATGTCATCATCCACCAGTGCAGCCTCAGCACGCTCAAGTTCCTCGTCTCCTTCCTCAGTTGCCGTCTTCTTCTCCCTCGCCTGTGCTCTCCTGCCTCAGAAAGGCAGCGCCTCCCAGACTCCCCTCACCTCCTTGATGATCTGCCTTAGAGCTTCGACTTCGAGCTTCTTGGCCGACAGACCAATCTGAGAGTCGTCTCCTCGTCAGCCTCTCCTCCCCATCTAGCGGCAGGCAGACCTTCTCATAGAGATCGCTGGCTGACTCCAGGCACTCCGTTGCGAGATCGAGGTCTCCCGACTCAACACAGACTTTCACTTCCTCACAGAGGATGTCTGCTTGCTTCTCAACGCCTTCCTTCTCCTTCACTGCTCTCTCTGCACGCTCTCTTTCATCCTATCAGCTCCAGTCAGGAAGCTGAGGTCAACAGAGTTCAGTACCCTTGCAAGTCTCAATCGTTCTTCTTCCTCTTGCTTCTTCTTCTTCTCTTCCTCCTCCTTGGCGAATTGAATTCGCAGTTTCTGCACATACTTGTTCATGTACATGGCCCGACGCAGCTTCGCCTGCATGAGGAGAGAAAATTCCCGACGACTGAAGAAGTTCTTTCGATCGAAGTATCGACTGACGTGACCGTTCAAACAAGGTTCGAGAGCAAGAATAAAGTTTTGACCTGATGGCCGCCTGTGAGAAAGTTGTGGCCTTTCGCATCTTGTGCATGTATCGATAAGCGCAGCTGGTCTGCGGCAGCAACAAGACGTCAGTCCTTGGAAGCTTTTCTGTCTGCGATGCACCTTGGCATGCTCAACAAGGGTTCGAATGGCAGCGACTTTCAAACGGAACTGGTTCAACGCTGACCACCTGGCAAGGGATATGAGGACCATGAACATGGTGAGCTCTTGAAGCAAAGGGTGTGAGACTGACATCCTGAAAGTCTTCTGGATCATCACGCAGCTCGTTCCCCACTTCTGATACTTGCTCCTCGTCAAGTATGCTTTCACGTGCGCCTGGGTCAAGAAGTCACCTGACCCTCTTGACTCATCATGACACCGAGCATCACCTTGAGCAGCAGACGGCAGTGCAGCTTGAACACTTTGTACTTCTCCTCGATGATAGACGAGGCGTGATCGCGCAGGAACACCTTCGACGTTCCGATCCGCCACATCTCAGGATCCTTGAGGAAGAACTGCCAAGATGCGGTCGTCACCCTCAAGGACTCTTGGAATCTCCAGCAGGTACCTCAAGGATCTTGGTGTGATCGTAGGATGAGTTGCGACACCGGGCCGAGCTCACGTAGACCTCCCCGTAGCGGCTCACAAAATCTGCAAACGTGTAGGAGACCGGCCAGCCAGCTCTCCTAGCCCTCACAGTCTCGGTGACCCCTACAAGTCCGTCATGAAGGGCCTTGAGCTGAGCAGCCACGCAAGGAGGCAGACAATAGACTCACCAGAGCATCTCAGCTGACGGATGACGTTGGGTGCCTCGAAGCAATGGGACTGACGCACAGCATTAGGCTGGACTGAGTGAGTTGGTCTCGGCTACCTTTCTATCGTTGTTGGGTTTGACGCATCGAACGTAGTGAGCTTTTCCACTTTCGATCAGGCTCACGAGTTCCTGAAGCTGTTGCTTGAACTGGAATCCAAGAGAGCGCTTGTCCTGTTGCCGCTGCTTGGCAGAGGCCGCGCTCCTCGCTCCGGTTGTTCTTGTTGTTCCTCCTCCGACCCGTCGACCTCCGATCATTCTTCCTGCCGAAGCAGAGTCCTACAAAGAAGTGAGAATCACTGAGAACCGATGTCAACAAGTTATCACCTTGTCCGTATCATCCGCGTTGGACTCTTGCATGATGGTGCGGATCAGAGCGTGCTGGGAGCTTTTCAAAACAGTCTTGAGGCTTTCATTGATGGTATCGCGGTTCTTCTCCAGGAAAAGTGTCACGGTGTACTCCACCTCTCCAGCAAAGTGGCTGATCACGAATGCTTCTTTTGAGCTCTGGACTCGTGCAGATCCATACTTGGAATGAGCGTTCGAGGTCTGCAAGCCTTCCTTCAAGTGAGGATCCGAGGAGGATCCTCCAGGTTTCAGATGTGTATGGCTCTTGTGGAGATCCATCAGCTTAGATAGAAATCCTTCTTCGGATCCCTTAGGCACATTGCATTCATCATCAATCAGCGCAAAGATTCCCATCTTGGACTCGAGCAAGTCAACACACGGGGAGTTGTCTTCGAAGGGGATAGCATCGACCTTCACGCCCTCCTTCTCGTATTGGGCCATCATCGAGTGCAACATTTGATTGATGAACTGCTGCTGCAGGGTCTCATTCGCATAATTGATACAGAGCTGTTCGAAAGAATTGTATTCGAACACTTCGAAACCAAAGATGTCCAGCACCCCGATGAAGTGACTCTCAACTTTGCGCTTCTCGTTCTCGCTCAAATGAGAGAAGACGTCCGAGGAGCTCAGGCAAGTATTCACACACCCAACAAGCCAAGCGAACAGCTTCTCGTAGATCACCTTGCAAAGTGCATCGCGGGATGCTGCGGCAGATTCTGCTTTCTGAGGAACCTGGATCGGATTGGTTTCCCCGGTCACTTTGACCATGCTGTGTGTAAGACAATTCTCAAGTACAGAGGCATCACATGATAGTAAATCTGCAGTGAAGGATAGAATGTCTCCATTGGATACCTTGGAGCCGTCCGCTGAGGTTTTGTTCTCTACACTCTCAAACTGGATATTCCCAAGGTGAAGGATAGCAGCCAAGACTTCCCAAATTTGCCGTTGCGTCACTTCTTCGATCTGCATCTGCGTCATGGATTGCTGCACTCGATCGAACTCCACAACTTCATCGCAGAGGGGTTTACCATCCGTATCGAGCAGCTGATAAACCCCACTCTGATTGAGATAGTGAAAGTTCTCTGGACCAGCAAGGTGGAGTTTATCCCTCAGTTCACCAGTCAATCCCGCACAGATTTGATAGAACACGTGATAATTCCTCTCCCCCTTGTGCTGTGACACAACCCGAGCCTTCTCGAGAAGGTAATGTCGTACGCGACCACCACATATCGTGTGGTCAGGGCTGAAGAGAATTTGAATGAATTTTCCAAAACGAGAGGAGTTTTCGTTGCGGACTGTCTTTGCGTTCCCAAACGCTTCGAGAAGAGGGTTGCTCTCGATGATTTGGTTCTGAACTTGACGAGTCTGGAAGAAGGGGTTTAGTTTGTTCCCTCCTCCCTTGAACGACGATTCCTTCGATGTGGTGGCGGCCTGAACCACGAGCTTGGCCACTTCGGTCTTTCCAGCCCCGCTCTCACCGGAGCACAGGATCGACTGGCAGACATTCTTACTTTACTCAAAGTATTCATTCACACGGTGCGGCCGGGCCGCGCCCCGGGCGGCCGCCGGCGGCGCCCGGCCAGAAATAAACTTTGAAGTTTCAAAGTTTGAAATGTCACATAACTTTAAAGTCCAAAGTTGAAGGGAAGGACAGGTGTCGGGTACCACCATGTCGGGGGAGGCAGCGTCGATGCTGCCAAGGCTGAAGGCGGCGATAAACGGAGGAGACATGGATGGAGCGAAGAAGCTGATGGTACAGCTCAAGGTGAGTCAATGGGATGTCATGCTGTTGAGACTTTGAGATGTTCGGATGCCGTCCAAGCCTGATGCATGAATTCAGATTCTCATGACTTCGTTCAAGTCCACCCCGGGTGTGGTTGCAGCGAATGAGGCGAATGTACAGGAGTTGATGATCGTTCGTGAATTCTATGAGCTTGGGTGTCTAGTGTCAGCCCAGTCCGAGGATATTGAAGGGTTTGAAAGGCATTTTGCAGTCGTGAAGAGCTGCTACACAGATTACGCTGGAGTGCTACCGCAATCAGAAAAACAATATGAGTTGCAAGGACTGAATTTGTTATGTTTACTAGCTCAAAGTAAGATTGCTGAATTCCACACTGAGCTGGAGTTGATTCCTGTGAGTGGACATCGCGCGATCAATCTACTGTGTCTGACGTGTTCTTCAGGTGGACGTTTGGGAGAACCCGTTCATCAAGTTTCCGATCAATTTAGAGCAGTATCTGATGGAAGGAAGCTATCAAAAAGTTCTGGAGTCTCCGGGTGGCGTACCTTCCAAGTCATATTCATATTTCGTGCGATTGCTTTCAGGGACAGTCCGCGACTCGATAGCGGAGAGCAGTGAAGCTGCTTATGATTGGATGCCCATTGCCCAGGCCCTCAAGATGCTCAGCATGGGCTCTGCCAAGGATCTTTCTGATTACGTAGTATCGAAACAGAGGGAATGGGAGGTGGATGTGAATGCCAATGTGGTCAGATTCCGGGAGGATCAGAAGGTCGATCTTGAGGTGAGGACAATCGTGGGTGGAGTCTAGTTCTGATTTGTTCGGTACCAGGTTCCTAGCCAAAGACTGATTGTAGAGACGCTCTCGTACGCTAAAGAGCTTGAACGCATAGTTTAAATCTTGAGAAACGATTACTGGACAGATGTGTGTCTACTTTACTGTGTGTCCCTAACCCAATTAGTTCCCTGCTCGATCCTTATGATGTACCAGAAGCTATGCAGCTCTGACTTTGACTTGCTTCACAATCTATCCAAGTGTTCCATGATCCATTCTGAAATCTCGTTCTTCCGGCATTCCAATCTCCCTTCCTCAGCACCTAACCGTTTTTCTAGTTCTTGCCGGATCGATCGTTTCGTCGCCTTTGAAAAATCTTCTATCGAATCAAAGATGTCCTTGAGGTGCTTTTTGATGGTTTTGTCATCAAACCCGCACTTTGCTTTGTTCCTCTCAGCTATCCATTTTGGATCACCAAACTTCGCTTTGCAATGTGTAGACCACTTCTTGCACTCTGACCAGTTGATGTCACATACCATACAGAAGCAATTTTTGCATGCATGCATCGCTTGCTTCGTATTGAACGGATGTCTGGGACACGATTCTCTCAAGTGAGGCAAATCATCAGTGAAATCACCCTCAGCCTGCAATATGATAACATCTTCATCTTTGTCCTCAAGAGTGTCTTGGATGTGATGGGTTTCTTTCACTTTGTCGTCAGAATTTGCCGGTGTGCATGTGCTGAAGGAATCATCCATAATGATGCAGTCATCGTCTTGAATCAACTCAACCATTTCGCTTTCCTCCTGATATTCGTCGAGTTGACCATGCACTGCATCAGCTACTTCTCCATCTAATTGATTTTCTGGTTGGGCTTGTTGAAAATTTGGATTTGATTCGGGAGGTGTTGAGTTTGAGATCATGTCACGTTGGAACGATGACTCATTCGTGTCTGATTCCATTGCATTCTGGTCTTTCGAAAGAGTTTTGACCGATTCTGATTCATTCAGTCCAGCTGTTTGGCGTGCCATTGACTCTAGATCGTTCAAGTCATTCCAATCTGTGTCCTCGATGTCCGAATCCGAAAAAGTTGGAGCTTGACGATTTAGGGCCTGATCATCTAAAACACGTCGTGTCACATCAGCCTTTGCAGTGACCGTGACTGAATTGCTCTTTGCAGTGTCTGAACCAGCAAGTGATGCTGTGCATATGGGTAAAACGTCTTTGTCTCCACTCTGTGCATTGGTGTGTGTTTCATCCCAATTATGACTTGAGGAGCAAGATTCATCTTCTTCATCAAATCGGTCTTTTGATTTCTCAGGATCATGATCCCTGCAGTAAGGACCAAACTTCAAATTCACAGTCGTGCCACATAAATGACCATCCCTGAATTGGTGTTAAAGAGCCAGTTTCAAAGATCACAAAGAACTTGCTTGTAGTGCTTGCATCGTGCAAAGTCTCGAGATCTGCCTAGAATCAGGAGTTGCCTGGAAATCTACTCAAACCTTTGGGCAAAAGTTATCAAAGCACCCCTAACCTCGAATTTTCCACCTTGACCTTAGGAACCGATGAGTCAGAATCTGAAGATTTTCTATAATTTTCAAGTCAAGTCTCATTCATTGATGGCAATGAGTCAAACACCGGCTGGAAGGGTCAGCTTCGAAGATCTTAGCATTTCTGATTAAGAGAACGGTTCCAACAGTCTGATTCAACACCAAAAGGATTAAAAAAAGGGTAGACTTCAAAACAGAAAATCACTTCTTTCCAATGTTTTTCGTAAGCATCTTGGAAGAGAAAAATCGTCTGATTTGATTCATGTCAAACAAGATGAGACATCACTATTCAATCCACGACCAGATCATGCCCATTCAGGTCGCTCAGATTCCAGATCAAGTATTGTCCTTGCAGACAAGCTTTAAAAAAACTGAATATGGACAGGAAAGAATTACCTCCTATTTTAGACTTCAAGACGCGACTGCATGAAGTCATCACTCCTACGGTGAATTTATTCGCAAAGTTGCTGTCATCACTGACTTGAGAAACCAATGTTTTACGTTCGTTCACAATACCTTAATGATCCAATACTCTTCAATGGAAAGTATTCGCTGAAATGAATTCAAATCAATTGTCTGGAGCATCGATTATTTTACAGCACGCCATACCCTCCCTTGCTTGTATCCATAAGTTCTTCATTTGAGATTCTCAAATTCTTAATCCGGAATCCACTGCAAAGATGTATCACATCGCGGCAGAGGTTTCACGGACATTTGACTAACCTGTGTGGACATGTGATGTCGCCTGTACTGACTGAAATTTCTTTATCGGGCTTCCTCTGTGTCGAGGACTTTACAGCGCTTGTGTTGGTAATATTCTTTGGGATGATCCGCACAGCCTGCAAAACAGTCGAAATCAAACGGAAGGGTATCTTTGCAGGTCAATACCTTGGGATGGTGGTTTACTTTGACAACATTTTCGATATTGTCTGAAACACATTTTCAATCATCATCCATCAAGCAGCCAGCAACCTTGTTGAAGAGATCGAAGTTTCTCAGAAAGAGAGGAATTAAAGGGAGTATCTGCCCATGAATCAGTTCCCTTGCCGCATTCAGTTCTGTTAGATGTCGAGCAACGCGTACCTGGATTTGACTGCTGAGGTATTTCTGTCCGCCCACCATCATCCTCAAGCTCATTCAACAAATTAGACATGAACTTGGCTTTTTTGAAATTTTTTAATGCATCATCATTGTCTGATGACTTGGTCTTCAATCTTGCTCCTTCCATCGTCAATGTCTCGAGCAAACCCTGCTAATGCAATGCAATTTTTCATGACGAGCAGTGAACAAATATTTGATCCACCACATCTTTTTGTTGAACCACATTCTATCTCTTCTATGCTTCAACAATCTGACGCCGGATGTATCTGCTACGCTGATCTTGACTCACATGTGCTCTTCCCCTCTCTCTGGCGCAGAAAGCCCCGTGAGCTCTCCAACTTCCGTTCCGTCACCTCTCTGCTTACCATACCTCCCCTAATCTTTCATTGTTCTCCCGGTTCATCTCGTCCAGGTGCTCGCTTTCTTCAGCCATTCATGTATCTTCGCATCTCACTCACGCTATATCTCAACGTCCACCTACTTTGCATACCCTCCCTCCTTTATTTCTCTCCTCTCTCCTTTCTGTCCTCTCTCCTCTCTCCTCTCTCCTCTCTCCTCTCTCCTCTCTCCTCTCTCCTCTCTTCTTCCAGTCCACCCGGAAGGGTCCCAAAGAGCATCTCAGCGGCAGAAGCGCGCCAAACTCACTGTATTACTCATCATCATGTATGGCTTGGTAATATTTCAGGCTTGCCTCAGACATTAGATTAGAAATTTTAAAAGACAGCGAATGATTTCCTTACAACCCAACTTCCATTCTTGGACATCGATGAAAAACTTGGAAATACTCGCTTCAATATTGAAAATCACAATAAGGATTTGAAATATCAACATTTTTACGGCACCAGTTATAATTAGCAAAATATAAAACGTTTTAAAAGCCGCCGCCCCCGGGTTTAAAACCCATTGTATCTCAAAAACAATTTTAAAAGATCCAGTGTCGCAGAACCTGCCTCAGAGATTTGATAGGGAGGATTCTGAGGACAGCAGAGAGACAAGGGGATAAGATATCGCAAAGGCAGATGTATGCCGGATGCGATCGGGGATCTTTAGGAGCAGCGCCCCCTTGTTGATCAGCCGAAGGGATGGAGGGAGAGGAGAGGAGAGGAGAGGAGAGGAGAGGAGAGGAGAGGAGAGGAGAGGAGGAGGCCGTACTTGGCGATGAGCTCTGGAATCCATGGAGCTACAAGGAAAGCAGCTCCTGCTCACTAGAGGAAGGGGATATTGCGGTTTTGCTAGAACAAACTAGTGGGGAAATGATTGGAGGATGAGATTTTACTAGTTGCAGGCTGAGTACAAGAATGAGGGCGTGGTACATCCTGTAATGAGTCTGTGGATGTTTTTCGATCATAGTTGTAGGGACTTTAGTTTGTCGAATTTCATAATGTGGGGCAAAACGGTTTTTGCATGAAGACTATGCAAACCGTTTTGTACGAGCATTCACGATGCTTTTCCAGATGACCAAGGAAAGTGAAAGATTCGAGTGTTTTGTTCCAAATATGTTCCAGGGCTCTGAGTAAAGGTGCGAGGGCGAACAACGAGTGGTTGCGTCAAAATGTCAGAGAAGGAGGAAGAAGTGGGACGGGAGGAAATCCCTCAAACCGTTGACGCCCCTGATGAGCATACGGGGGGAAGTCGAAACCCAAGTCCAGGTACTTCACTTGTAGACAAACATTCTCCCTCTCCTGCCCTCTCCTGACTCCTCTCCTACCCAATCCCTTGCTTCAAAGACCCCATGACGTAGCTGCACTTTCTCCCAACCTGACACTTGTAACGTCCTCGGTCTTGTTTTGATGGCCCTAGTTGCAGACCTTGAACCTCAATCGCCGGATGTGACTAACGGAGGCGGCGAAGCAGACGAGACATCGTTCCTGGGCAGCATGTTCAGCTCCAGGAGGATAGCCTCGCTCAAGACTCTCTGCGAACTCGGTGGAGCAGGGGAGAATGCGGGCGAGGGCGACGCGGTACCGAGTGGGCTGATGACTTCTTGCTCCTTCGCCTCCTTCTTCTCAGCAGCGTCCAACATGGACGAAGGGAAGGACTGCGAGCAGGAGAGGGTGCAAGGCAGCAGAGAGGAGGACTCTGGTCCTATTGATGTGGGAGGAAAATCCTTGCAGGAGCAGGGCAATGTTGTTCTGCCCTCGCTTGTGAATCCCACGGCCATGGTCGGCAACTTAGGATGGTTCTGGAGGACCTTGGGCACGAGCCTCTTCGGAGGAGCTGTGATGGAGAGGAAGCAAGTGGAGGAGATCCAGTCCGCGGCATCTTGTGGGACGATTGTGTACGTCGTCGAGGCCCACTCGTGGCTGCACCTGCTGTTCTGGAACTTTATCCTCATCCGGCATCGCCTTCCTCTCGCATCGCTCGCCGTCGGGCTGGTTGTCCTGCCCTACGTCTCCCTCATGTGGCCCGTGTGGCTCTTGTTTCACCTCCTGCAGCTCCTGGGGATGTCGCAGCAGCAGAGGAAGGAGTCACGAAAGTCCAAGGTCACGAGCCCCGTTTTGCACCCTCCCGCTGACTTGCTGGCAGGCTGTGCAGGCAGCTCGCAATGGGCAGCCGCTCATCTTCTCCGCAGGAGGAGGGAGGGGGGGGGAGGAGGCGTGCGAGCTTTTGGAGGACATCATCGTCCTCCAGAGGAATTCCTCCATGCCGTTGATCATCTGTCCGCTCATTGCGATCTGGAACCGAACGCCGCTCCCCTCCTCCGGACCTCATCGATCGAAGGGGTCGAGGGGGTTGGAGAGCCAGGAGGAGGCGACTGGCTTCCTGCAGTGCATCGTGAGCGGCGTGTTCGGGTCCAAGAGGCAGCCGAGCCCCTTGAGAGCGTTTGTGTCCTTGCTCCTCGACCTCCGCGATCACATGCAGGTGCTCCCTTGTTTGCTGCTGCTGCCGTTGCCGCTGCTTTCCCACCTCCTGCTCCTCCTGCTCCTGCTCGCTCCCCGTGAGCTGGTCTTAACGTGGAAACTCACTAGGTCGGGGGAGGGCTTCCGATCAACTTGAGCGAGTGGCTGCTGGACTATCGCGCTGCCTCCTCTCCAAAGTGATGCTCCGCCCTTGTGCCTCCTCGCCTCTGACCTCCTTGAACCCCTCAGCTCGAGCCTGTCAGATCGAGACCTGGCTGTCCTCTTGATAAACCAGGTCCTGCTGCTGCTGCTGCTGCTGCTCTCTGCTCTCTGCTCTCTGCTCTCTGCTCTCTGCTCTCTGCTCTCTGCTCTCTGCTCTCTGCTCTCTGCTCTCTGCTCTCTGCTCTCTGCTCTCTGCTCTCTGCTCTCTGCTCTCTGCTCCTGCTGCTGCTCCTGCTGCTGCTGCTGCTCTTGCGTTTAATGCTCCTCCTGGTGCTCCACATGATTCTTTGCTGACGTTGGAGCCCTGACTGTAGATATACCTTCGATTCGACAACCATTGGCTGCAGGCATGATAAGTTTAGAGAAGAGGAAGGAGACAGGAGGAGTGAGGGAGAAAGAGAGGATAAATACGAGGAGGTGGGAGGCTGAAGGAAGGGAGTTGTTGAGGATTTTGGTAGAGGAGGGAGGCGGGGAGGAAGTAGTGAAGAGGGAGGAAGAGGAGGAGGAGGAGGAGGAGGAGGAGGAGGAGGAGGAGGAGGAAGAGGAAGAGGAGGAGGAGGAGGAGTCTTTGACCACGTTTTTTAGGTCACTGGCCCTGCTCGTCAGCTGAGGAGGGAAGCGAGGAAGGAGATCTTGTCGTCTGTGCGAGTGAAGGCAGCGATAGCAGCAGCGGCGGCTCAACAGGCTCAAGTAGGAGGAGGGAGGAATGGGCGAGAGGAGCTGATCGAGATCGATTAGGCCGTCAATGTGATCGAGAGGAGAGCGAGGAAAATCATCGACAGCATGGTTGCAGACAGGCGCCTCCTCATGGTCTCTTCTCCCCCCCCTCCCCCCCTGTGCTCGGTTGACCAGCCCGTGACAGGTCCGGACGATGTCCTGCTGCTTGCGAGGATTCTTCAATCTGATGTTTCATGCCGTCTACCTCGACGAGGAGGGACTTTCAGCAGTCCAACGCGTCTCGATGGTCAGTGCAGAGACAGGAGCGCGGCAACGATGGCTAACGATGACGTTTCAACCTCGTGCTGCTCTCCCTCCTCGTCCCTGTCCTCATCCTTATGTTCGCCCTCCTGGTCATTACACTTTGTGTCGTTGTCCTCTTGAACTTCTTTCTCCCTCCTCCTCCTGGCTAATCTTCTTCCCTGCATTCTTGAACAGGAGAAGAACTGTCCTGTTATCTACGTGCCAACGTACCGAGGGGTTCTCGACTACTTGTTGTTGACTTACATTCTATTCACAAGGTAATGCTCTTCTCTGCTGATGAAAGCGCTTTCTTGTCTCTTGCTGCTGCTGCTGCTGCTTCCCCCCCCCCCCCATCCCGCTTCTTCTGGTGCTGCTGCTCGTACTCCTCCTACACGTTATGTTTCCTCTCTCTTCAAACTTCATCAAAACCTCCTCCATGGTCTCTTCATCTCGATCCTTTTGCTCTCCCCTCTGCTCTGTGTCGACCTGAGCCGCAAGCAGGGACATGGCAACGCCTGTGATTGCCTGCTCGGAGAGCTCGCATATGATCCTGAAGTTTCTCTTGAGGTGAGAGGAAGGAGGAAGCGGAAGTGGAAAGGAAGAGGAGATACAAGTTGAGAGAGAGGAGGAGGGAAGGGGAGGACGATGATCCATGTGTTGCTGATCAAGATTGCAGGCGTGTTGGCGGATTCTTCATGAGAAAGTCACTTGCAAGTGAAGACAACCTCTACAAGGAGATCTTTCGCGAGGTAAACTGCTCATACCCCCCTCTGCTGCTGGTGCTGCTGGTGCTGGTGCTGGTGCTGCTGCTGCTGCTGCTACTGCTGCTGCTGCTTCATTCCTTCTTCATTGTTGTCTCTGATTCAGACCATCCTCTCCTTACAAGGTCCTCTGATTTTCCTTCCGCCCTCCTGTCATGTACCTCCCCCTCTCTTAACCGCTTGACGTGTCTTGTGCAGTACATCTCCTTCCTGCTGGAAACAAGATCCAACCTTGAGGTCTTCATCCAAGGATCTCGACCCTACTCGTGAGATTGCGGCATCCTCTCTGCTCTCCTCTCCTCTCCTCTCCTCTCCTCTCCTCTCCTCTCGTTTTTTGTTCCTCTCCTCTCCTCTCTCCTCTTCTGTTTTCCTGATTGTCACTTCAGGGGAAAGAGCGGACAACCCAGGCAAGAGTTCTTGGGGAGTGGAGGAGTGGAGGGAGGATTGAAAGGGAACCGGGCAAGGAGAATGCAGGAAGCTCAGAGTAGCGATTTGAGAATTTGAGAGGAGATAGAAATTTCGAAGAAGAACAGCAGGGAAACATGAGAAAAGGAGGATGGAGAAGAGGAGAGCAGGTGAGGGGAGAGGACAGGACAGGACAGGACAGGACAGGAGAAGTGTGAAAGATGTTGCATCCATGAAAGTTCGTTATGATGGTACTTGCCAACAAGTGGGCAAGTCAACTGACGCCGGGGGCAGGATGGGGCTGGTGGGGGTTGCGGTGGAGGCGGTGATGAGTGGGAGAGTGAAGGATGTGGTAGTTGTTCCGATCTCCATCCAGGTCTCAACCTCTGCAGCCGCGGCAGCACCTGACACTTGTTGCAGTACGATCGGGTCGTGGAGGGGAACAACTACGGGAAGCAGGTGGTCTCCCGATCACGACTCCCTTGCTCTCTCCCTGTCGCAGTCCTGCCCCTCCTCCTCTCTCGCCTCCGCCCTCCCTACTTCTCTCTCCCCATGGCTCTTCCTCGCTCTCGCTCTCTCTCCCCCTCGCTTTCCCTTCGCCTACTCTCCCGCACTTTCGATCTCTGTCATTCGCTTCCTTCACTTCCCTCCTCGCTTCTAACAACGTTGAAGATCTCAGGGGATCAGAAAGTCTCTCCTGCGCTTCCTGCCTTCCTTGCGTCTCACTGGTGACCTCGTTGCTCCACCTTTGTCCTCCATCAACACCATCACATCCTCTTCTTCTTTCTCCTACTCCTGTCGTTCTTGTTCTTGTTCTTGTTCTTGTTCTTGTTCTTGTTCTTGTTCTTGTTCTTGTTCTTGTTCTTGTTCTTGTTCTTGTTCTTGTTCTTGTTCTTGTTCTTGTTCTTGTTCTTGTTCTTGTTCTTGTTCTTGTTCTTGTTCTTGTCCTTGCTCTTGCTCGTGTTCGTGTTCTTGGTTTTGTTCTCCTCTCTTCTTCCCTCTCTTCTCTTCACTCCTTCATCTCGACCAACATCATCACCAACAGGAACATCCACATGGGTTTTGGAAACATCATCATCAACTTTGCAGAGCCGCTATCCGTTCGAGCAGGTGAGTTTTGAGAGCTTGCGACGTGCTCTGAGAGCAGGCAGGGTTGCAGCAGGGAATGCAGCCAGAGAGGAAGGCGGAGGGGCAGGAGGAGGAGAAGGACGAGGCTCGCCGGTCAGGCTTCAATGTCGTTCGTACCGTTGCAACTTTAGTACATGAGGTGAGTGGGAGGAGGGAGGGGAAGGAGGGAGGGGAAGGAGGGAGGGGAAGGAGGGGGAGGGGGAGGAGGGAGAGGGAGGGGAAGGAGGGAGGGGGAGAGGGAGGGGGAGGGAAGGGGAGAGGGAGGGGAGGGGAGAGGGAGGGGAGTGGGGTGGTCATAGTTGCCAAAGGATCACTAGGATCAGTTTGAGTTGAGATGCAGGTTACTTGGATGGTAAATCAGAGAACAGTGATAATCCCAACATCGCTTGTCGCTACGGTGACCTGCATCTCATATCCTCGTCCTCTACGTTCTCTTTCATCTTGGTTCCTGTTCCTGCTCCTCACTCGCATCCTCGTCCCCTTCCTCGTCCTTCTCCTCCTCTCTCGCATTATCTGCCTTCTCCTCCTCCTCTTCCTTCTCCGCCTTCTCCTCCTCCTCTCTGCTGCTGCTGCTGCTCTCTGCTGCCGCTCTCTGCTGCTGCTGCTGCTGCTGCTGCTCCCTGCTGCTGCTGCTGCTCCCTGCTGCTGCTGCTGCTCTCTGCTCCTGCTGCTCCTGCTGCTCGTGATCTTACTTTAATCTCTCACTTGTCTCTCCTCAGGTTCTTCTCACAAACTCCTGCCGGGGCATTTCGCTCTCCGATCTCGTCGAGAACGTGCAGGTTGACCCTCATCCCGCCCGCGGCTGCTCTGACGTGCCCGACCTCCATCGCCAGTGGTTGAAGATCGAGATCATGGCGCGAGGAGGACTCGTTGCTCCCATGCAGGAGATGGTGAGGGGTAGGAGTAGGAGAGCAGGAGAGCAGGAGAAGAGCAGGAGGAGGAGGAGCAGGAGCAGGGGGGAAGGGGGAGCAGCAGGAGGAAAACGGAGAAAGGGAAGGAAACGTTTCTGACTTTCACCTGCCTTAGGCGCGAGCTGTTGGCAACAGTGTGAAGAGAATTTCCAACTTTGTCAAGATCCCCACGCCTGAAAAGGTACCTGACGCAACCAGCTCCTCTAACCCTCCTCTCCTCTGCTCTCCTCCCTTCCCCTCCTCCTTCCTCTCCTCCTCCTTCCACTCCTCTCCTCTGTCTTCCCTCTTGTCATCCTTCTACTCCTCCTCTCTCGACCCTCTTCTTTCCTCCCTCTCCTCCACTCACTTCTCATTCGACTCAGGCCGGAAGGAAAGTGCACTGGATCAGGACTGCGACGCTCTTGCGAGATGCCGAGGTTGCCCCTCTCTCCCTCGTCCTCGTCCTCGTCCTCGTCCTCAATTCTTCTTCTTCGCTTCATTGTTTTTCTTCTTGTCATGAGCGCTGGCAGATTCTCGCTGAGATCCTCAAGCTTGAGTTCACCTACTCCCCCCGCGAATCAAAGGTCTGCAAGCTCCTCCTCCTCCTCCTCCTCCTCCTCCTCCTCCTCCTCCCTACTTTTCCTCCTCTTCTTCTTCCTCCTCCTCGTCTGTCTCTCCCAGTACCTCTACCTCCTCCCTCCTCTACCTCCTCTACCTCTGCTTCTTTCCCCCCAATATTGACACTTTCGAAGGATCGATTTCAAGATGCTATTGCACGATTGGCAGCACGAGGTACCTCCTCCTCCCCTTCCTCCTCCCCTTCCTCTTCCTCTTCCACCACCACTACCACCTCCTCCTCCCTTTCCTCCTCCCCCCCTTCCTCTTCCTCCTCCTCCACCACCTCCTCCACCTCCTCTTCCTCTCAGACTTGTTCCTCCTCCACTGTCTGGCAGATTGATTGCAACTCAGGGACTGTTCTTCCTCTCTATGACGACGGATACGGTGAAAGAGTGCAAATTCTCACCACGAGACAGGTCATGGCCAATTCTGAATTCATCTCTCCTCCTCCTCCTCCTCCTCCTCCTCCTCCGCTCCTCCTCCTCTTCCTCACCTGAAACGCTGCAAAGTCGTCACGTTCCCCTCCTCCTCACCCTCCTCCACCCTATTGTTTCAACAATCGCCTCCTCCCTCACTCCTTCTCCTGCTTATCCTTGAGACAGGCTCGGAGGATGATCGGCCTTCTTCGCGGCATGCTGCTTCCGTTTCTTGACGCTTACTGGGTGGCAGCGCTCAGGTGAGGAGGAGGAGGAGGAGGAGGAGGAGGAGG